GCACGGCAACTCCCCCCCCCCATGCGCCTCGAGGATGCAAGCGCGCGCAGGGGTCCCCGCGCGAGCGGCAGGCCCCCAGGCGCGCGGGTATGTCGGTGCGTTCGGCCGCCGGCCGGGGGGGGGCGCGCGCGCGTACGCTGTCGGCAGCTGCCGCCGGGGCGGCCGGAATTTGGCCACGGGCCCCTCGGAGCCCCGCGCGGCCCCAACCCCCCTCCGCAGGGGGGCGGGGGGGGGGGGGGCCGGCCAAGGCGAGGCTGGGCTGGGCCAGATGTCACAGCACTGGCCGGGGGAGGGGAGCCGAGGGGGCGAGGGCTCCCGGGCCGGATGCATTCCACCCGGTCGCCGGGAGGCGTCCTACAACCTCCGCCCCGCCCCGCCCCCCCCCCCCGGCGCACCAGGCGCACCAGGCCCAACCACGCCAAGGGGGAACGGGGATGTGCTCCGAGGGGCTTTTGGAGGATCCATACTTCCGCCCTTCTCCCCCGCCGGCCCACTGGCCCCGCCGGTCTTAACACACACCGTGCGTGGCAGGCACGCGCATGTGAAGCGACCGGAGCCCGGCCCCCCCCCCCCCTCCCGCCCCCCCGAGGGAGAGAGAGGCAGAGGGAGAAGGAGAGCGCCCGCCCGTCCGCGTGCATCCCGCCGACCCCACCTCGCGCCTTCACATTCCCTCGCCTCCCCCTCCCCTTCGCCCCCGGGGCCTGGGGGGGGGGGGGGGGGGGATAAAAAACGACAAGGGCGTCAGCGTTCCGCCAAGACATGGGCCATGCTGCTCAGCATGCATGGGAAAGCTGCTGGCTTGGGCGGCAAACAAACAAAACACCAAACTGCCCCGATGCCGAGCCGGACGTGCCGTCGGAACCGCCGGCACCACACAGCGTCCCGGCCGGCCGGCCGGCCGGCCAGCCAGCCGGAATCCCGGTTCCTCCGGGAGCCAACACCCGGGCCGGCGCGCCCACCGCGCGGACGCCGGGCGCGTCTCTCTCTCGCAGGCCACATGCGCGCCGCTCTCTCCCGGCTGCGCAGAGGGGCTCGCCCGCACCGAGGACAGGCAGAGGCAGGGCGAGACCCAGCACGCCGGGCAGGAAGCCGGCCCCTCCGCCAAGGGCACCGCCCCCCACAGCGCAGGTGTGTTAACCTCCGCCCAGGCCCGGCTCCAGGACCCGGGGGGCGGAGGACGAGGCAGGCCAAGGGGCCCCTCCCTCTCGCGCCGGCGTAACGCCGGAACACAAGGAGGCCACCGCCGGGGAAAAGGGGCCAAGAAGCGCCAGGCCCGGCCGATGTTCCCCTCCCAGGCCAGTCCGGTGATTCGGCCCAACCCTCGCCCGCCCCCCCAGCTGGGGGAAAATGCCTCTTCCCAGGGGCTCATTATTTCGGCGGGCCGCGACGCACACCGTCCCCCGCCCCTCCCCCTGCCGGGCCTCCCCTCGCTCGGAGGCTGCTCGAATGAGCCCTCCCAGGGGGGGCATGGTCCGCCGCACATTGGTGCTCATCAGCCACCGCGAGGCACGACCCCACATCATTTGCCCAAACTAGCTCGCCAGCAACCGGCCACCGGCGGCGAGATGGAAAACCAGCCACACACGCGCGCGCGCACGAACATCCGGTTAAGGTTTATGTCCCGCGTGATCTTCCACAAGTCAGGCAGAAGAACCGCGGGCGTGACACCAAAGTCGAGAAACCCCCCGGCAATGACTAGACGGGGTTGGGTGGCTCCCGACCGTCGGTCTTTGTCTTTTGCCCCCCGCCCCCACCCCCTCCCTCCGGGGAGCCACTTCGCAAGTGCGTCCGGGTATTGCCAGCGGGCAGCCCAAATAGGGGCGTGTCGTCGCCGACGGGGGGGGGGGGGGGGGGGGGGGGGGGCGGGGGGGGGGGGGGGGGGGGGGGGGGTGCAGGACATGCGTGCGTAGGGCCTGAGTCAAGTGCAGGCCGGGCCCCCATTTTGGGGCTGCGGGCTCCCCACTCCCTCCGCGGCCGGGGCCAGGGTCAGAGACACCCTCGTCGGCCGCCTCCCCCCGGCCAGCCCCACCGAGGTGGGAACACCGAACAGGGGGGGGGGGGCGGGAGGACGTCCGCAACAGTCCGCGTGCGGTTGTGGTCATCGCGCCTCCGCCCCCATCTGCGGGCAGGGAAATATAAGGAGGCCGGCGAAATGCCGACCGAGGCAGGTGCGCGCAGTCAACGGTGGATAGGGCGGCGGGCGCGAGGGCCCCGATAAGATCCCAATGCTCGGTCCGGGGCACTTGCCACCGGCCTACACGTGGGGAGGTGCGGCCGGCAGGCTGGGCATCCAAATCCCCGGCCCCCGCCAGCCGGGGGGAGGCGAGAGAGAGGCAGATAGACAGACGGCGAAGCTCCCGAGAGCAGGGGGCGCCTCCCCGGGCCTCCGCCAGCCATGGCACACCGGCCGCCGGCCGCCCCCTCGCGCCAGAAGGAGAGACCCAGGCAGGAGCCTTCTAGCAAGGGTATGCACCGACGGCCCCAAGCGTCGGGAGCCCATCTCCGCCGCCCCATATCTCCCGCAGGTGACCACCCTTTGGACGTGTTTGCGCCCCGCCGGCATGGGCCCTTTCTTGGGCGCGCGCGCATGCCCTTGTCGTCATCCACTCCAGGGTCTCCGCCCCGCCGGCCCCACACATTCACACGCACACGCACACACGCGCACACACGCGCACACACCAACGAGACCGAGCCGTTGGGGTCTCACATCCCCTCCCCCCTCCCGCTGGTGGCACGCGGAACGGCCCCCAGTCATTTGGGGGGCGAGCGGGCGGGCGGATCACTTGGGCCGGTGTACCCCTCCCCGGGCCATCCTCGCCTGGGCCACGGTGTGCGTGCGTGTGCGTGTGCGTGTGTGTGTGTGTGGCCCCAGCCCCCTCCCCCTCCGCACCCCCCGGACCGTGCTCCTCTCGTGCTGCGCATCTGACATCAACCGGGGACCGGCGAGGGGGCCCTCGCGCGCCCGGGGGCACCCCGCCTCAGGGCGGCGACCCGCACACCAGGCAAGCGGCAAGAACCGAGCATGGGCAGGCACAATCGAGGCGCGCGGCCCCCCCCCCCCGCCCCCCACCCCCATGCAGGGGAGCGTCTTTGGCCCGAGTGCGTCCTCGAGGACATGGACGCGCCTTTCTCCCGCACCCCTCCCCTCCCGCCCGTGCACGTGCCTGCTCTCATGCCTGCTCGCACGCGAGAGAGCGGCCCGGCCCGCAGGTCTCCCTCTCCTCGGGCCCGCCCAGCCAGAGTCCAGCCTTTTTGGCTGGCCATCCTGCCGAAAATCACCCCTCGGGCAGCCGTAAAGCACCAGACAGGCACCCTCCCCGCCTTGATCTACCCTCCCCCCCCTCCAAATCCCTGCTTTTGCTGGGTATCCTCCTTTCTTGTCAGGCAGACAGCCGCCCTCGACCACCGCCGCCGCCGCCGCCGCCGCCGCTCTCGGCTCCCCGTCGACACCCCTTGACTACCATGTTTGCTGCCGCTCGCCTCAGCCGCTCCCTCTTCGGCCAGTCGGTGCGTGGCGTCCTCCTCGCTCGGTGACAGGGAGACTCCTCCCGCCTGCGCCCCGTCTGACCAACCGACCCCCCACACGTGCGCGCGCGCACATACACACACACACACACACCGACCTCCCCCCCGTGTGTGCCGATAGGTTGGCCTGCGCCACTTCACCACCACCTCGGTCCTCTCGTCGGCCGCCGCCGCCCGCAACATCATCGGCCTGCGCCGTGAGGACAAGAACAAGTGGGAGCGCCGTGTGCCGCTGACCCCGCGCGATGTCAAGACCCTGGTCAAGGACCATGGTCTCGAGATCCAGGTCGAGTCCTCCACCAACCGTGTCTACCACGACCACGAGTATGCCGCCGTACGTGAACACCGCCCTGGCCATCTGCTTTGCCCCGGGTGCTGGCCCTCCCTTTCCCCGTATACTCACACACCCCTTCGACCGTGGAAACGATGCAGGCCGGCGCCACCATCGTCAATGACATGAACAATGCCGACGTCATCCTGGCCGTCAAGGAGATCCCGGTCGAGAAGCTCCTGCCCAACAAGAGCTACATGTTCTTCTCCCACACCCACAAGGGCCAGCGCCACAACATGCCCAGCCTGAAGGCCGTCCTGGACAAGGTTCGCCTCATGCCGCCCATCCCCACCCGGTGCATGCGCGCATACGCACGCGCGCCTGCTTGCTGACCCCCATTCGTGTGCAGAAAATCCGCCTCATGGACTATGAGCTCCTCACCGACGAGAACAACAAGCGTCTCGTCCGCTTCGGCACCTTCGCCGGCTACGGTGGCATGATTGATTTCCTGCATGGCTTCGGCAAGCGCCTGCTGGCTCTCGGCTATGGCTCGCCCTTCCTGGTGCGAGCCTCTTCCCCGCTGCACTCTCTCCTCTCCCTCTCTCTCGCGCGCGCGCGCGCGCACGCACACATGTGCATCGTCGAATGCCGCCTGCCGCCCTCATGCTCACCGAATCCCCCCTGCATCCACACCCACACACACACACAGAACGTCAGCATGACCTATGGCTACCCGGACTACCGGACCGCCTGTGACCAGCTCACCAACGTCGTCGGGCCCCAGATCACCCGTGGCGGCCTTCCCCGTCACTTCTCGCCCTTCCTCTTTGTCTTCACCGGTGACGGCTACGTGGCCCAGGGCGCCATCGATGTCTTCGAGAAGCTCCCCCACAAGTGGATCGCCCCCGATGAGGTGGCCACCTTCCAGAATGCCCCGGACTTCGACCCCAACGTCCTGTACGGTGTCAAGATCAAGGCCAAGGACTATGCCGAGCACAAGGACCGCCCGGGCTTCTTCGATCCGGTCGACTACAAGACCAACCCCCACAACTATGTCAGCCACTTCCACACGAAGGTGCGCCCATGTCCTCAGGCGGGGGCGGAGCGTCACTCGGCCCCCGCCCCCGATCCCCGACCCCCCCCCCCCTCCCTTCGCCCTCTCTCCGCCCTGCATACCCGCCCATCTCCATGCCGGCTGTGCCTCGACGTCCGGCATCTCCTAACCCTTCGCGCCCCCCTCCATACACCGACCAGTTCGCCCCCCATGCCACGGCCATCATCAACTGCATCTACTGGGATGACAAGTTCCCCCGGCTGCTGACCAACGAGCAGACCAACGCCCTGTATGCCCAGGTCGACGAGAAGGGCGAGCCGACTGGCACCCGCCTGCTCGGTGTGTCGGACATCAGCTGCGATGTGGCCGGCTCCCTGGAGTTCATGAACCACGTCTCCACCATCGATGACCCCTTCTACCTGGTGGATCCGGCCACCGGCAACATCGAGTTCTCCCTGGACGGCCCGCGCAACCGCGTCCTCATCCAGTCCATCGACAACCTGCCGACCGAGCTGCCGACCGAGGCCTCGGACCACTTCAGCGAGGCCCTCTATGACTTCGTCCGCGAGCTGGTGCGTCTCTGGGGTCTCCCTTCGCCGCCGGTGGCTGTGTGTGTGTGTGTGTGTGTGTGTGTGTAAGCCACCACCCCGACATGGCAGCTGCCAACGAATTCCGTGCTGGACGACAGTGGCTTCGCTTCTTTTTTTCCCCCTCCCAGCGAACCGGCAGCAAGGAGGGGGGAGCGGGCGGCGATGGCCCCCAGTCATGTCATGCCGCCGTGCTCTCGCGTAAAAGAAAAAGCCAGGGCAGCACAGAGGGCTCAGAGGGAGGGGAAAAAAAAAAAACACCGCGCATACTGACCCTCCCTCTCTACACGATCGTCCCTCCCCCCTCTCCTTGCCCACATCTCTCGTGTACATCCGAACAAAAAAAAACAGGGCACCAAGGACCTCTCCGACTCTGCCTCCCTGTCGGACCCCCTCCGCAAGGCCATCATCGCCGAGTCCGGCGACCTGGTCGGCCCGCACAAGCACCTGATGCCGATCATCGAGAAGTACGGCGGCGGCGCGGCCGTCGGCTCTGGGACCGCCACCTCCGGCGCCACCTCCCAGCCCAAGCGCGTGCTCATCCTCGGGTCCGGCATGGTCTCCGGCCCGGCCATCGAGTACCTGTCTCGCGACAAGTCGATCGCCATCACGGTGGCCGGTGTCGATGGGGCCGAGGCCTCCCGCGCTGCGGCCCCCTTCCCCGGGGTCCGGCCGGTGGAGCTGAACGCCACCAACCCCGATGCCCTGCGCCGTGCCGTGGCCGACAGCGACATCGTGGTGTCTCTGCTGCCGGCTACCCAGCACCCGACCGTGGCCGGGGCCTGCCTCGACACCAACCGCCACCTGGTCACCGCGTCCTACGTGTCCCCGGCCATGCGGGAGCTCCACTCGGCGGCCGAGTCCCGCGGGCTGGTCTTCCTCAATGAGCTTGGCCTCGACCCGGGCATCGACCACATGACCGCCATGCAGATGATCGACAATGTCCGCGATGCTGGCGGCGTTGTGCGTGGCTTCAGCTCCCTCTGCGGGGGTCTCCCGGCCCCGGAGGACAGTGGCAATGCCCTGGGCTACAAGCTTTCCTGGAGCCCGCGCGGCTTCCTGACCGCCGGTCTTAACCCGGCCCGCTGGCTGGAGAACGGCGCCATCCGCGAGATCCCCTCGGGTCAGCTGTTCGCCAATGTCCGGTCTTGCTCGCACATCCTGCCGGGCTTTGCCCTGGAGTGCCTGCCCAACCGCGACTCGCTGGCCTACCGCGACGTGTACGGCCTCAACGGCCCGGAGGTGGAGACTGTCTTCCGTGGAACCCTGCGCTTCACCGGGTTCTCGGCTGTCATGCGCGTTCTCAATGACCTGGGTCTCTTCAACCCGGCCGAGGCCGACTTCCTGGCCCCCGGCGCCTCGCCCATCTCCTGGGACGACCTCGTGGCCCGCCTGGGTGGCGAGGCTGAGATCAACCGCCTGGCCGCCGGTGCCGAGGCTGGCGAGCTGACTCGTCGCGTGCTGGAGGCCATGAAGGAGTGCGTGCCTTTCCTTTCCCCCCTCCTCCCTTCCCTTCTTTTTTTCGCCCGTGCCTGCTCGGCCTATTATATCCCCACTCGGGGCCCATTTCTTTGCTCCCCTCGGTCCTGCTGCCCGCGCCCCCTCTCTCCGCCTCTGTCTCCCTCCCCGTCTCGACGCGCCTCCCACCATGCCTGTGCTGACCGTGTGCTGCCCCCTTCTTGCTCCGCTCCTTCCCTAATCACCCCCCCGCTCGCTCCCCCATGTGTACTAGGCTTGGTATTTCCGGCCCTGGCACCGTTGCCCAGCGCGGCACCGTCCTTGATGCCACCTGCGCCGCGTTCGAGAAGTCCCTGGCCTACGCGCCGGGCGAGCGCGACCTGGTTGTCATGCACCACGATCTGCTGTACAACGATCGTGACAACCAGCCCATGAAGGCCACCGCCACCATGGTGGCTTATGGCCAGCCCAACGGCCCGACCGCCATGGCCACCACCGTTGGCCTGCCAGTGGCCATTGCCGCTCGGCAGATGGCCACCGGCACCTACGCCGGTGCCCCGGGTGTCGCCATCCCGATTGCCCGCGAGGTGTACAACCCCATCCTGGAGGAGCTCGCCAAGGAGGGCATCTCCATGCGCGAGCGCGTGCGCTCTCTGTAAGAGAACGAGCATGCCGGCGGTGGGGAAAGGGGGGAGGGAGGAAGTGATCTAGTCGCATGTCCCCCCCCCCTTCTTTCTCTCTTTTCTCCGGACCATCCCTCTCTCTGGCGCATATGCCCCCCCCCCCCCCTGCCTTGCTCTTCTTTTCCCTCCGGCGGCCTGTATCGCCCCTTTCCTGTGGTATTACCCCCCTCCTTTTGTGCATGCCACCCTGCGAGCGCACTTTGCCTTCCAACTCCCCCCCTGCTCGCCGGGTGCCTGCACCTCGCACCTTATGCCCGTGGCTGGGCACTCATGGCGAAATGCTGTCTCCCCTGTCTGGAGAAGGAGGAGAGGGAAAGGAAGAGAATACACACGATACACAATGCCCCCTTGAGATTGCGTGCACCCGTGTCCCCCCCTCCCGGCCACAGGACGTGGGTCTTCCCTTTCAGCAGCGGCGGCAGAACAGGGCGCGACGACCACGGGATGGGTGCAGACGGGGGGTCAGCGGCACGCGCCGTAGAATACCCCACACGCACTCCTCCCGTCCCGCCCCCCCCTCCTGTTGGGGATATGCCTGCGATGTGGGTGGGGGATACACTCTGAGCCCTCTCCCTCTCCCCTCCCCTCTCTCCCCCTGACCAAGACCGAAAGTGACCAAGCATTCAATGTTACTAATGGGAAAAGGGAGGGCCCGCTCGACTATATCGCCCCCGCTCGCCCGAGGTCGGGACAGGCGCGGGCGGGAGAGACCGAGCGTCACGGCCAGCGCTGAGGAGCATGGAAAGCCAGAGAGAGGCTTCGCCTGGTCCGGCGCGCATCTACATGAGGAGAATGAAGAGAAGAGGAGTCAGCAGAGAGCGAGGAGGAGGGGGTGCGCGGATGGGGGGGAGGAGGAGGTGCGGTGTGTGTGTGTGTGCGTTCATATTCGTGGGAAAGACAATCTTCATAACTGCATGTACGTCATATTCATGCATAATCTGTCCGCCCGTCTGGTTTAATATCATGACTGACACAGGGAGGAGGAGGGCGGGGAGAGGGGGGGAGAGAGAGAGAGAGAGACGGGGGAACGCACGGCAGGGGGACAGAGGGGCAGAGGGGAGAAAAGGCAAACAAGTTCGGCAAGCAAGCGAGCGAGGGGGGGGGGAGAGAAACCCACCCTCCGCCAACCGGCCAGGAGTGGGATCATACCGAATCCCAACAGACCTGGGGCGCCAACACGACCAGCCCTTTTATAGGGGCGGGGAGGGGACCGGGAGCAGGTGTGCCGAGCGACGCAAACTCCGGCGGACGGGGGGAGCCAGCCGCGCGCGCACAGCACACAGCAACACAACACACAGCAGCACAACAGCCGGCTGCCGCCCCTCCCCCGCCCCCGGTGGGGCGGGAGAATGTCCTCCTCTGGAGGTGCGGGGGAAGGACGCAAGCGTTGGCAGGGTGGCATCCGTCGTCAAAACGGCGTTCCGAATGATGTTTGTCGCATGCGAGATCACGCCGTATTCTGCCCTGAGTCACGTCAGGCGCGCTCCATTGCATGGGGCCTGCCCCCGCCCCGCTGCGCGGCGGGGGGGGGTCGGGAGGGGGGACACCGACACACCACACGCCTGCCGGCCGGGGGGGGGGGGGGGGGGGGGGGCGGCCCCCCGCGGCTCCCCGCGCCCCCCCCCTTTCCCCCCCCACGCCGACACCGGGGGGTGTTTCACCGGGCGGCCCCAAAAAAAAGAGGGGCCAGGGGGGGGTGGCCCGTCCGCCCGGGCCCCGCGCACACGCGCCCACCCCCACCGCGGGGGTTCGGGGGGTGACTTGGGTGGGAGCGAAAACAACCCGCCCGTGTCCCCCCCCCCCTCTCCCGGTCGGCAGCTGCTCGCGCGGTTATTCCGCCACAATCACACCCACACCCCAGCACCGACCAGGCCGCCAGTCCCCCCCCCCCCCCCCGGAAGGGCCATCGAGCGCGACAGTGATGTGATGCCCACCACGACTGATCTGGGAAGCACCCTTCCATGAAGCACGACGGTGACCAATCGGCCCCCGGGCCTCTCTCTTTTCTCACTCCTTGAGGGGGGATGGTGCGGGCATTGACTCACGCCAGAGTGATGCCGAGCGAGAAGGGTAGATCGCTCGCGCGGCTGGCCCGCGCGATCTCAGCTCGCTCCAGGCGCCGCAGATCGCGCTGGTTCCTCTCCCCAGAAGAAGGATGCCGGGGGGGGGGGACTGCTCACCCGTGGCCTAGCTTCACATGGGTCCGCCGTGCCGCCTCCCACGGTCTTCCGGGTAGCTTCACCACTCACCT